GTGTGTGTGTGTGTGTGTGTGTGTGTGTGTGTGTGTGTGTGTGTGTGGTTAGCTCATATGTATTGGAAACAAATAGGAAAAATAAAGCAATAGTGATGCTTACGAATTATGAAAGTAACTAATGAATGCATGAGTTCATGGAACCATTTATAAATGTTTTTTGTTAAGTTTAAAGTTTTTCAACATGATGTGTTAGAAGTAGGAATGAGAAGGTCAGTTATTAATGTGGTCAGCAACATACCAGCTCAAAAATAGAACATACAAAGGACATGTTACCTGCTCCAGTTACTCCCATCCTCTTTCCTCAGACCTCTGTTACCCCTGGAAGGCAGCACTCTTGTGTCTATTGCCCCCATTCCCTGTTACATTGGCGTCTGGAGGATTTAGACCATAATGAAATGAAGGAATTCCGTCCCTTCTGGCTCCTAGTTTCAGTCCCTGGGTACAGTAGTAAAAGTACCTCCCCATGAGTTCAAGTGAGATCCATTCTATGATGTCATTTCTCCCTGAAACCTAGTTGCACTCCACCTCCCACCAACTGGGTCCTTTACTCTTAAGGCTGATAACCCCTTCCACTGAGGCTAGAATCAGGGTGCATTGCCACCGCCATCCCTGGTATCTCTCAAAGGATTTTTTCCTTAATTTTTATTGAACTGCCTGCTTCTTGTTAAAACCTTGATCAATCTAGCTGTACCTACCAAGCAGAAGACACTGGATTTAAATATTTGCTCCTGATCTCCATCCAGTACATATTTTCCCCTTTTAGGTTATATACAACATTGGCACATTCACATCATATGGCTTATATTTATGCTAATCACCCCTGTAGAATTCTGCCTCCCTTACATCATAATTCTGTTTTGAGGATGCTTGCAGATAAACCTCGCACATAGTAGCCCACCAGAACCCTTTTGTATGTAGAAAATGGTAGAGAATTTCTGTAGTTCAACTTGGGCCTCCAGCCTCATTACTTCTCTTGATCTCATTCAGCACTGAGAAAGTAATAATAATTAAAGATACAATTGGAAACTTGATGAGTGTTGCAAGGAAGTGGGGCCTTTATTTGTCCCGGGCACCTGGCTAACTTACACCCAAAATAATCACACAGAAACTGTGTGATTAAAACACTGTTTGGCCATTAACTCTAAGTTCTTATTGGCTAACTCTTACATATTAGTTTAATCCATTTCTATTAATCTATGTATCACCACGAGGTCGTGGCCTACCAGCAAAGGTCCAGTATGTCTATCTCTTACAGAGGATCTATGGCATCGCTGTCTCTCTGCGCTTCTTCCCAGCATTCAGTTCTGTCTTCTCCGCCTATCTAAGTTCTGCCCTATCAGGCCCAAAGCAGTTTCTTTATTCATTAACCAATGAAAGGAACACATGAACAGAAGAACCTCCTACACCAGATGAGCACTAAAGATCTTAGCAGGTTGGCTAATGGTATGGTTGGAGTCACACAGACAGAAGTTCAAATCCTGGTGGTACTATTTCCTTCATGCACTAGTGGAGATCAAAGGGAACCTTGAGGGAGTCAGTTCTCTCCTTCCTCCTCAGGTTGTCAGGCTTGGTAGTCAGCACCTTTCCTCGTTAAACCTGTCCCCATAGAAGACCTTCAAATTCTCTGTTCTTCACCTTCTCCATCCATACAAAGCACCTCATTCTAAGGATCTTATGTAAGGTTAAGGTTGTTGTAATTGTTCAATGAGCCAGTGCAAACAAATCAATCAGCTAGGTCTAAAATAATGAAAAG